AAGAATGTCTTTACCAGTAAGTTGGTAAAAATTTACTTCAATGTTATGTGTTAATTTTTTTAAAGTTGTTAAACTAGTGTAAGTTTAATTTGCACATATCAAATTACTATTGAAAATAATCACATTTTACACCTTTGTGTACCATTTGGATTTTCTCCTTTGTGATTACATTTGTTTATATTCTTCATTAACTTAATGATTCAATTTCATTGTTTTTATTATTTATTTAAATGACTTCACCATATGTTATTGATAATGAGCCTTTGCTTATCATATGTGATACAAATACGACTTTTAGTTACTTGTTTCATTTCACTTTTGTAAGGTTTCATGTTCAGAAGTTTGGTAATTAAATAAATAAAATATAATACTGTAGAATGAGGTTAACTGGTTATAGAGATTCTTTCAATCAGAGATATTTTATCTATATTCTCCAGTGGAAAAAGGAAGTGCTGTATTTTGGGTTGTAGCATTTGATTTCATATATATGTTTCTTCTTTAAATCTGTGGTGTTACATTTCCAGAATGGAAATCTGATTTAAAAATATGTATAGGATAGGGTTTGGAATTTAACTGGACATAATTTTACATTTTCACCAGAAACTGTTTTGCTATTCTCCTTAATGGGAGTAAAGTAAGTAAGCTAGTAAAGGCCCTCTCAAATAACACATAGATGCAGAAGAACGAATTCACAGGGAGACTTATGGTCTTGGAGCAGACTGACTTTCCTTTTCCCTGCACCTGGGTACTCTCCCCAACTCCAAACAAATAACATCTGCATCAGAAATAACTTGGAAACATGTTGTTTATATAGGTTTTCTTTACCAAATGGTATGAAACAAAATTAAGACATAGCCTCAGTAAATTATATTCAAGGTTTAAAAATTATGCACTTTGTGTTTTGTAAAACTAAAGTTGAGAAAATATATACAGTTTACTCAACAACTCTGAATGAATAGCTTCTCTGGGTTAGGTAGAGCCATAGGCATTAGGGATATGCGGTAAATGAGGAGTCAAAGCCACAGCATTCAGGAGCGTGCTACTGGCCTTTCACTTGCTCCTTCAATCATTGTTTCACTATGATAATTCTGAAATTTTTCATGAAAATATGAAATTTATTCAGTCAGCCAAATGCTCTCAAGAGGCATGAGTAGGAACGAATTCAAGGGAACCAGAATGAGGAAAATAAATACATATTAAATAAACATTTAGTCCTCAGAATAAAAATTCATGATTGACTGTCTTGTGAAGACAGTGGAAATGACATTTTTCATTCAGGAAATGGATGTCAGGTATGGGATTAAAGACCCAAGAGTTCAACAGCCCACCAGGATAGAGACCTTGGCCTCTGAAGGACCAACTGGGATAGGAGAGGGAGAGGCACAGAGCAATTATAGTAGGAACATCAGTAATAGTAATATATTCCTATGGGAATCTTTGGCTGGTGATTAGAAAGCAAGTGAGTGATCATACTGGCACTTGGTAATCTTCCCCGCCCCCCCCCCCAGGGGAGCAAGCACACATGTGATGGTGGGTGAGGCAGAATCCGGGGCAGAAAGACTATCAACTCTCTAGGAAGTCACTGGCCGTCCTTCCGGTAGAAATGATGAGCAAATGAACCGAGGGCAGGGGCAGTGCTCACAGAGAGGAGGGACTAACATCATCCCATAGCTTGATCTTGGCTACCGCTCTTGACACATCATCTCCTCCACTGATTCGATTTTGTTCCTCTCCTCATACTGTCCACAGTTTCTCTTTGGATTCTACCCTGAAGTTTAAGTTGATGTTCTGACAATTTGCAAGAGCCCCACTAGGGGCTTTGGAAAGATCAGGGCCACAGGAACTCTCTCTCTGCCTTCCACACTCCCTTTCCTGCTCATCCAGGGTGCCAGTGAAGGAAGCCCAAGACAGGAAGCTGCTGTGCAGAGACAGCAGCACTGACCCAGGGTGGAAGCCGGAGCTCCGGTGCTGGGGACAGTTGTGGCACATGGTCCCACTGGGAATCCCAGGTGGTTGCCTTCTTGCCAAATTCTGCTATTTTTGTCGTTGCTGTTGGTTTCTTTCTGTCAGGCTTGTATGTAGTCCCTGTAGATGTTTACGACTGGGATTTCACGTTTTCCAGTTCCAAGCTCTACTCTCAGGTGGGACAATACAGGCAGGATTCATCAGCAAAGCAGAGCTGTATCCATGGATAAATCATTCAAATACTTTCCTCTCCCTTTGCCAGAGAGCTGCTGCCTTCGAATCCCAGGACCTCCCTCCATAATCCTGCCCACTTCCATTGTCCTCTCCTGCATCCTTCTAGATCTTTCTGCACTTCCAGCACGATGACAGGGGTCCTCCCCCTTCCCCCACAACCCCCAGTTCAACAGGCCTCCAGGGCATTGTCCCATCTCAAACCACTTTATCCCTTTGCCAAGTTGTTGCCCATACAACACAGGCTGTTAAATACTGCAACCATCACCCTCCTTTTCAGGAATAAGACAGACGTCTCAGCACATGCTAGGCGACTGCTACAGCAGTTGCTCCCATGTCACCACATTAAAAATTGCAATTCTAATAATTGTAAACACATTTATATGAAATAAGTGGAAAATATAGAAAGCCCATATAACCACACAATAATAAATAATTTCACAGCTGTGAAACAATTTCAGGGTATATTCCATTTCAATATAAAAAAGATAAAATATTGGAAATCTTATCTCACAGGTGTATTACCCAAGAAAAGTCAGAGATGAGCAACTAATCCTTTTATTGCTGGAAGGCTGACTTCTATAATCAGGACCATACATGCTGGTGGACAGTTTTGAATATGTCAAGGAATTAATTTATAACTGACGAGTACTTTTAGGTGGCAACATCTATTTTATTTATATTTCTCCTTAGTGTATGTTTTTAGGTGCCAATTCAGGCCCTTATTGAATAAATACTGTAACCTTGTCATTCATTTGATATGGAGAAATGACTTTTTGATTCCATGGTATTCTGCTGCATTATAAAAAGTTTGAATATTATGCTATCATTCCACAAAATGGTTTAGCAATTTATTATGAATAATTTTTAAAAGGAGGGAGATCTGTCCAGATATGAAAAATTCTAGAAAAGTGCTTCAGAATTAAAAAAAAAAAAGAACAGGAATCTAGTGTATAATAGTTTAGAATCTAGTGTATAATAATAGAGTAGTTGTGTACCTTAAAACAGATTGAAAATTTTTAAGATAATTTGCCTCTATATTTTTAAAAAATAATCATTTAAACATATATATCTGCCACAGTTTCATATGTAAACCTCTAAGAGATTAAAGAATGACCAGGAAATAGGAAAAGACTGATAAGATCTATTGACAATTGGCAATATATAGAAACCAAGAATAATCAGATTCCCTAAATATTGAGGCCCAACCTTTTTCTATTTTTATCTATTTCTATTTTTCATCCAGTACAGAATTTGCCTTTAATTGAACTAGAACCCTAAACAAGCTTTGATTTTTTAATTCTAGTCTTCATCTTTCCAGAAAATTGTATTTTAAATGTGCTCTAAAACACTTTTTTAGAATTTAAATATGCAGATCAAAGAACAATAATTCATACATTGTACAAGTGAGGTGAGACCACTACACTGGTGGCCCCAAATGAGCCATGGTTCCTGGTATTGTCACTTTTTTATAGCCACCCCCCTTCACTCTGCTTGGGTTTGGTCATATGACTTGCTATAGTCGGCATTACTCAAGTAGATGCCTGATAAATGCCTACATGTTGGGTTTCTCTTGGAACCTCGGTGCCTTGCTATAAGAAAGCCTATGAAGTTTCTGCAAAAAGACAAGATGGAAGAGGAGGAAGAGGCTGTGGAGGAGACTGTGGTCCAATAGCCAGCACCAGACATATGCATGAGGCTTTCTTGGATATTCTAGCCCCAGCAGAGTTCCTGGTTGAAAGGATCCTAGGAGTGAACCTATAGGATATGATGTGGACCAGAAGAACTCCTCAGCTAAACCCTGCCCCAGCTCCAGACCCACAGAACCCTAAGCAATACATCTATACTGCTCAAAGTCATTCCATTCTGAAGAGGTCTGTTATGTAGCAGTAGATAAGGGATAGTAAAGATTTTTCAAGCTTCTTTCTAGAAATAATTCCAAGATACGTTCTTCACTGGCATACACCTCTTCTATTTCTGTTGTCTATTTATTCACTATTGAGCCTGTATCTTTTTTTTCTGACTCTACCTCTAACCAGTTAGACAGAAGGACTGAGATGGATAGTTGGTTGGTATAAAAAGTGTGACTGAGAATGGCTTTATTACACATCGACTCAAACAACATGCCAAGTCCTTGCTGGATCTCAAAGGAACACCATTCTTGATGATGGTATATATCTTAAGTTAATGTCAGTCCACATGGAATCAAACTGTAGGTGGGACAATCTGGTAGAAGAAATGAACAGATTCCCAGCACATAAACCTTGTGTGGTCCATTTAAGCCATTTCTTCTCTCTGTTCCTTTCTATGGAATTATATCTTTACACCAAATGTTAGGCACTACAATGTAGAAAACTCTTTGGAGGGATTTGTTTTCTTAAGGATTTATTATTTGAAATATGAGGCTTATCAGATTGAGCAAGCCATTGAGTGTGTTTGCATCCTTCTTCCTCTGGAACTATTAGTTAAAGAATGCTTTCGAAGTAGAAGTAGTAGCAGAAGTGTAAGTAGAGAATGTACGAGGCTACTTCTCGGGGACAGCAATGCTATCGTCTTAAATGGTGTGTATTGTTAGAACTATAGCAACTAACTAGTTCTAAAACAAAGTGGATACCTGGAGGAAAAGATGTAGCCTCATTAAGTAGAGCTGATGTTAGCATACTCACTGTTACTTCCATTGTTTAAAGGATGCTCTCCATGTGCTTATTTAAGGCTTTATCTACCAGATGGTTGTGGGCAGAGGTTTACTTACAAAATGCCAATAAAGGAGAGTCTAGATCAGATGATACAAATATGTTACTTACTGAGAGGAGTATCTGGACAGCGCTGTGGATGACCTCTAGGTACTGGAAATCAACAATGCAGCCTGTGACGGAGACGTACGTGTAGTCGTCCATCATGCCGTGGGCCGATGGAGGCAGCACTCTTCGGACACAGCCGGGCCCATGTTCCCGCCACCATGACCGGTGCACAGAAATGTTGAATGTCATCAGATCTGTATCCTGGGTGGGCAAAAGACAGGAGAGCAAAAGGAGACAATGCCATTATATCACATCTTTGATTTTCAACCTTAGGAAGAAATCAGAGATAACTGGGTGATGGGCATGAAGGAGGGCACATGAACACTGGGTGTTGTATGCAACTGATGAATTATTGAACACGACATTCTGAAACTAATGATGTTCTGTATATCAGCTAATTGAATTTAAATAAAAGAAGAAAAAGTAAAAAAAAAAAAAAAAGTAAAAACAAAAAAGAAGAAGAAGAATTCCAGATGAACAAAATTGTTGAAATGATTTAAATTTCAAGTGAAAAATAACAAAAGACAGAACCACTAATGGCTGTGTATGCCATATGCCCAAACTATTGGATTATAATCGTTTAATATAGAGATACAGTCTTTTGAAGAGTAACATTTTAAGGTTAGCACACATCAAAAATCCAGAGACAAGACCCATACATTCGTTCATTTTAAAAATTATTTTGTTCAGTTTGAAACTTTTCTGCATTTTTTTATTCATCATCATCAGTATCACCATCGTGGGCTAACATTTAATGAGTGCTTTTTTGCATGCTAGGCATTGTTCTAAGCATTTTTCATACTTGTATCTCCTTTAATATTCATGCAGGTACTATTACCAACCCAGTTTATAATAAGCTGAATAACAGTCCTCCCAAAACACATTCACATCCTACTTCCTGGAACCTGTGACTTTTACCTTCTTTTGGATGATCTGAGTGGGCCTAAATGTAATCACTTGTATCCTTGTAAGAAGGAGTCTGAGGGAGATCAGACAGGAGGAAGAAAAGGAGAAGGCAGTGCGAGCACGCAGGCAGAAGGTGGAGTAACGTGGGCACAAGCCCAGGAAACATGGAAGAGATAAGGAAGGATTCTCTTCTAGAGCTCCAGAAGGAACACGGCCCTGTCAGCACCTTGAATTCAGACCAGCGAAACTGATTTCAGAATTCTGGCCTTCAGAACTGTGCGAGTAAGTTTCTGTTTGTAGTATCTTGTTATAGACCAGCCATGAGAAACTAAGACAGGTAAGGAAAGTAAGTCGCAGAGAGGTAAAATAGATTGCCCAATTTAATGAATAAATTAAATAAATTGCTTATTTAATGAGAGACCCCCAAACCTGATCCTATGCAGTGTGTACTTTCAGCTATGACATTTGTGCTATCCCTTTACCTACTCTGTTCTCCCTCCCAAATCCCTACAATTCTTCAAACCCTAAAGAGAGCTGGGTGCTTCCTCTTCCATTTTTTCCAGAAAATACCCCTGACAGCCAGAGTGAAAGAACAAAGAAGGCAATCTTTGACATTTACATATCAAAATAAGCTTTCTAAGCTTTTAGCAGAGACAACAGCCCAGCTGTTTAATCCTCAAAGGATGCCTTTTAGTATTTTGGGGGAATGTCAGCCTTGCACAACTAAGAGCATACAGTTTTTGCCATAACAATAGCTTAGAAAAAATACAGGAGGAGCCAGGATCTCGACTCTCAAATAACCTAAAAATTACAGCTGCACGGTGGTGGAGCCAGAAGGAGCAAGTGTAATGATGGGGAGCAACCCACCCCTCAACACCCAGGACCAGGACACTGCATCTGCAGGGAAGCCCCAGGAACAGGAGGGTGTCAGCTTTTGTTGATCTCCCAGCCACCACCACGAGCAAGCTCTGAACCCACTAGTACCGCGGGGACATGATGGTCTTTGCTCAGAAGCCCAGGGGCTGCCCGATGACTGTACAACACAAACGATGCTCATCCCTACCTCAGTGGGATAAAGACAGTCCTGACCTCAATGGCATAGGACAATTCTAAGGGCCAGAAATTGGTTTTGGAACTAGTGTGAAATGGAAAGCCCTTGAACTTATACGTGGTGGGGGCTGGAAGCAAACAGTGTGAGACCTCCCCGAGCAAGGACTCCCTGTTATTCCCCGCTGTCTGTGAACATGAATCATGAGGTAGGCAAAGTTATTCTGCAGTTTTAGATTTCCCTTAATTCAAATGGAGACAAGGCAGGGGACCCAACTCAGGTCCCCTGAACCCTGACCGCAAAATCCAGCATTCCTTGGTAGCGGAAACTCTATACCTCTTTTATTTTCTTTAATTTATTTATTTGACTGAGAGACAAACGGTGAGAGAGGGAACACAAGCAAGGGGAGTGGGAGAGGGAGAAGCAGGCTTCCCGCTGAGCAGGGAGCCCATTGTGGGGCTGAATCCCAGGACCCTGGGATCATGACCTGAGCCAAAGGCAAACCCTTAAGGACTGAGCCACCCGGGTGCCCCTCTATACCTCTTGAGTAGCGTATCTTGCAGGAATGAAGAAGCAAGATGCTCACCGAAAGAGGGACTCCACTGTGAAGACTGGTGAAGACCAAACCAAACCAGTCTGTGCCAAGGCAGACCCCAGTGCTGACCTTTCACCTACTTTCCTCTCCCTCCCCCCCTTATAATGCTATAAACATGCTAATTAGACACATGACACATGAAGAAACATGACATGCAAGTGCACAGGTGCCAAGAAATTCCCATCTCTACATGCCTGAACATCAGTCCTTTCCTGTCTCAGCTCCTTTACAAAGTTTGCGGGCCTTTGTTCTGAAATTCAGTCTGAAAGACCCTTTCCTTTCTGCTGCCTCCCTTGCGCTGGGGCATAAGGCCCAATAAAAAGCCTTTTCTGGAACTTCTGCATGGCTTCAGTCAATTTCTATTGCTTGGAGAGCCCTAGGACCCTGGTGGGTTAAAAAAAAAAAAAAAAACAAAACTACTATTGTAAGTATGCCTCCGATTAGATCGCTATTAAAACATTTTACATCTTTTTTTTTCTTTTTTGGGTTGTTGGTTTGTTACACCTATCATTCAGTTACCTTCACAGTTACAGCACTTTATTGATAATAAAACATTTTACATCTTTTTCTTTTCCCCCTTGGTTCTCGGTTTGCTACATGTATCATTTGCAGTGCCCTCCGAAGGGAAAATATTATAGAAAAATAATTGCTTTAGCTAGTGAATTCAGTTTAATACAAGGCAATTTACCTGCAGCAAAACTGCACCCTGACTGCTCCCTTTCCTGACCATCAGATTTAATCTCTTACAGTTAGTCCTGATCACAACCGAAAAACTATTATTTCCGTTTTAATAGAATTCATTAGGTTCAGGATGAACTGGCGTGATCTCAAAAGTCATAGCAATTTCTACTCTTTAAGCATTCTTAACCAGTGGCCTTTTCTATTGCTGGACTCTAAATTCCTTTCAAAATGACTTAGACTAAAATTTATATTACACAAATAAAACAAAAGTGAATTTATGAACTCATGATACATATTTGTTACACTCATAAAATCTCTCTGTGTGGTTCTCACTTAATTTGTTGGCACTATAAATATTTATAAACTGTACTGTTTTTTGCAATGGCTGTATTAAAATTGGAATGAGAACATCAGTAGTATCAAAGTATACTGAAAGTTCAAACTTCTAACTTCGATTTGGTATAAAATTGTATTGCAAGTTTGTGTCTGATTTCAAGCCCCTTCAGTGGCTAGATTTCAAACATTTGAAAAAAACCCTTAACACATGATTAGTCAATTTCCTATATGAGGCACATTAGAGGAAATGCAGCACAGAAAACTATAATAGTGTTCTTTATAAAGAAAAATAAATAAATACAGAAGATCACTTAGTTTGTTGAAGCTTTTTGTTACCACACCAAACCTGTAGTTTTGGAATACATGGGTTAATGCTAAATGGCAGATCAACAAAGGGATCTTTAAAATAATTCCAAGTAGCTCAAATATCATTTCTCTTTCAGTTCTTGGAGTTAGAATATTATGTGATAATTCGAGCACATCGTGGTTAAGAAAATTGGCAACTGGTATCTTAGTCATTTTCTTTAGAATTTAAAAGATATAAACAATGATATTTGTTTTTATGCAAGTGTAAGAGATTACCAAAGGACTGGTTGTGGAACAAAGAAGAAGAAAGCAAGGAGGGGGAAGAAAACATGAAATCAAAGCTAAAGGGCTTGCGGGGCATGAGGACAGCCTGGAGAGAGACAGCATGTCAAGCCAACAGAAGGGAGAATCAGGGAAGGTGGTAAGGCCATAAACTTAAAGCCTGGTAAAAAAAAGGACCATTGAATCGATGACTGGTTGGGCAGGGGTTGCGGGGTAGCTTTTAATAAAATGCAATACCACGAGAGTATTGGGAGTGTAAAACTGGGTTACAAGAAATAGAGGGGACTGAGAAGAGAGAATTTGGTGTATTTTTTCCTGAAGTGTGCGAGTAAAGGTAGTGAGAACATAGGACGGTAGCTTCAAGGGTGAACAAGGAGAACGTGAGTCAATGCATGGAGAACCACTTGTTAGCTCTATCTGCTCACACTCACAAAGTTGTGACTTAGAAGATAATTATTCCAGAATAGCTGCTTTCCTCTAATATCTATTTAAGCAAATATTAAATGTTTAAAAGTTCTTCCCTCCCTCTAGTGTGAATTCCGAACTTGTTTCCATTTTCTTCTTGAATTAAACAAAAAGGAATTTCTAGAATTCTTTGAAATGTTGTTCATGAACTGTGTAGGTGGACATACTTGCTTGCATCCCATTCACAGGAAGTGTACCCACCGTACCACAATCAGCTCAACAGTCACTTCTTTTATAGCATACCGCTATATAATTTCTTACTAATCAAGGAGCTAGTCTTTGTCTTTTCTCCTATGCACTTTCAATCATCTGCTTTGTGGGGGGTATGTGTCTAATTCAACTTTAGCTAATTCTTTCTACTTCTAGAAATGGATTCTTGACTGCTAATATTCTTTTTTTTTTTTCCTGTTTCCTTAGTTGTGGCTCAAAGAGTCATCGAATCCACATTTATGCAGTATTCTACTTTCTTTGTCTTTTTATTCTCTCTTATCCTAAGCCAGCCCCTCTGAAAGTGAACACATATTTAATGAAATAGATCTTGCTCAATTTTAAAGAGTTAGCATGGGTTTATATTTATGTAAC